AAAGAAATGTATAGATATTTACAGTATATGAGACAATGTGCATAGGTTATTTGTAAATAATTCACTATTTTATTTAAAGGACTTGAAAATTTGCAGATTTTGAATATCTGGGGGTAATTCTAGAACCAATTTCCAATAGATATAAAGGGATGACTGTACTAACATCCTAACTCCCAATGATGTGATATTAGGAAGAGGAGCCTTTAACATTTCAACCAGTCATGCGGGCCCAGTCCTTATAAGTGGGATTTAATGTCCTTATGAAGAAACCCCAGAGAGCTCTACACTTTCTTTTTGCCATGTGAGACTACACCGAGAAGATGGCAATCTGCAACCTGGAAAAGAGCCTTTAGCAGAACACAATCTGCTGCCATCCTGATTTCAGATTTTCGCTTCCAGAGCTGTGAGAAATCAACTTCTGATGTTTATAAGCCCCAGTCTATGGTGTTTTTTTTTCCCATAGCAGCCTGAATGGACTCTGACCTACTTTAAAAGAAATGATTTAATGTCATTTATACTATTATAAAATAAAAATATTAATTTTCTGATTACAGTTGATCTTGACATTTATTCACCACCATAGCACTTCATACATGTCACGTGTTATGTTGCTTCTGGAGAAAGCTGGAAATTAGACAGGTTCCCTCCCTCCAAAGCACTCATGGCAGGCAGGATATGCACTTGTTACAGATGTCCTGTGGTTGGAATCCAGGAGGAAGATCTCTTAGCCTTGCTTTGGATATTCTGTAGGAATTCAGTAAGGTGGTTACATTTGAGGGTCCCCCCACCCCTGAGGGATACATACACTATTTGGAATGAATAGGAAAGAATACAAGGATGCTATAAAAAGTTCATGAAAAATGCCTATTGTGGGAAAAAAGTTATGCAGATATTACAATATTTAAATCAAAAGAAACATTTTAATTCCATTTTAAAATAACTTTTTGAAGTATCTCATATTTTAAATTGGAGAAGCATACTTGTATAATTAAATGAATATTTAAAGAATAAGCAAAGGAGCCTAGTGTGTGGTAGCAGCTTGGGATGCCAGTATCCCATGAGAGGGGTTTGGTTTTGAGTTCCAGCTCCACTTCTGATTCTAGCTTCCTGGTATTTGTATTCTGAGAGGCAGCAGGTGATGGTCCAAGTACCTGGGTCCCTACCACTTACATGCAAGAGCCAGATGGAAGGAATTTGGAGATCCTGGCTGTCACCTGTCCCAGCCCTTGCTATTGAGGGCATTTGGGGAGTGAACCAGCAGATGAAAAAAATCCCTCTCCCCTTCCCTCCCCTCCCCCTCCCCTCCATCCATCCCTTTCTCTCTCTCTCTCTCTCTCTCTCTCTGTGTGTGTGTGTGTGTAGGGCTGCCTTTCACATATATAAAAAATGAAATTCAAAGAAACTGAACATTTTAAAAAGTCAGAGGAAAACCTCATGTGCTCTTTGAATTCTTTATAAAAAAGATATTCTTAGATTCTTGTAAAATTAAAGTGGTACAGAAATGTAAAGCAAAGCAAATGATTCCTTATAAAGTTGTACTTTAAACCTGAGCCAGTGCTAATTTGTAGGATGCATTCTCTACTAAAGAGCACCACACTTGTGTGCCACAACATCACTAAGTCACACAGCTTTTTTTCTTTCCCCTTTCCTTCCTAAATGGCCATTTCTCTGGTTATTTTCTAATCCACATTCTGGAGTGAGTAGGGTGATTTAACTAACTGTCTTTCCTGCTGAGGAGAACTCTCTGTTCAAGTCCCATCTATGTAAAAGCACCAACCTGCTTCGTTAAAACATAGCCCTGTGTAGAGATCAGTTACAGAAAAAGATGATGACAGATGTGAAATTTTGACTGACTACTATAATGTTGGGATTTGTCTGGTTATTTGCATATATTTAAACATATTTTTTATCAAATAGTATTTAGAGAATGGCACTACATGGGCTTCAGAGCATAACATTGCTTCCTTTCATTCTTAAATTTTTCATTTATTTATTTATTTATTTATTTGACAGCCAGAGTGGACAGTGAGAGAGAGACAGAGAGAAAGGTCTTCTTTTGCCATTGGTTCACCCTCCAATGGCCACTGTGGCCAGCGTGCGATGGCCGGCCACCGCGCTGATCCTGATGGCAGGAGCCAGGTACTTCTCCTGGTCTCCCATGGGGTGCAGGGCCAAGTACTTGGGCCATCCTCCACTGCACTCCCTGGCCACAGCAGAGAGCTGGCCTGGAAGAGGGGCAACCGGGACAGCATCCAGCGCCCCCAACCGGGACTAGAACCTGGTGTGCCGGCACCACAAGGCGGAGGATTAGCCTAGTGAGCCGCGGCACCGGCCCAAATTTGACATTTATTGTATTTGTTCATTATGATCATCAACTTTTTGTACCAATTCATGTCAATATACCAAGTACTTAGTTGCTAAATATACAGATATTTAGTAGTATATCTGACTCTGGCTTTTTTTTTTTAACAAAGAAACCTTTTAAGGTACACTAAATTCATGCATTTCATAAATGCAAATTTAGGAACACAGTGATTCTTCTCCCTCCCACCCTTCTTCCTTGTCCCTCTCTATTCCCATTCTTGTTTCCCACAAAGATCTATTTTCAATTAACTTTATACATTTAAGATTAACCCTAAACTATGTAAAGAGTTCAACAAATAGTATTAGAAAACAAAAGCTGTGCTTCAGCAGTTGAGACAGGGCTGTTAAAAATCATTGCATCTCAAAGTGTCAATTTCAATTCCATATATTACCTTTCAGGCAATCTATTAGTTACCACAGTTCATGGAGAACATATGGTATTTGTCTTTTGGGGAATGGCTTATTTCACTAAGTATAATGTTTTCCAGTTACATCTATTTTGTTGCAAACAACAGGATTTCATTTTTTGCCACTGTATACTGTTCCAAGGTGTACATAACCCATAAATTCTTTATCCAGTCTTTAATGGGATGGTTGGGTCATATGGTAAGTCTATATTCAGATTTCTGAGGTATCTCCATAGTATCTTCCACAGTGGCTGCATCAGTTTACGTTACCACCAACAGTGGAGCAGGGTACTTTTTCCCACATTCCTGTCAGCATTTGTTCCTTGATTTCTATATGAGAGCTATTCTAATTGGAGTGAGGTGAAACCTCATTGTGTTTCTGCTTCCACATGGTATATACAAGTATTCCATATTATATGTGCAAACGATTCTTAACTGGTCATGCTGGTGCTATTTAAATTCATATAAATGCATGTTATTTAAATAATATTGAAGATTTTAGCTGAGACAGAGTTCTCAGAATATTCTAAATTCATATAAATTAGGAAAGATTAAACTTTACATACTTCTAGTTATGCTTAAGGATATTTAATTTTTTAATGTAGAAATGGATGAAGGCAGTTAAAATTTTTGTTGCCTTTTGTGGAAAGTCTCTTAATTTGAGAAAAGGTCATTGTTTACTATAGTACTGATTGATATTAGTATTGTACTTTTCTTTTAGGGAATGTTTGATTCTGCTTGCTTAATTTGGTTTGTTTTTTTTTTTTTTTCTGAAGCCATTTAGTTATTGAGCAGTTATCCCTCTAAGTCTTTTGAATGAGAGCAAGATGTTATTGGCAATTCATCACTGATATACTGAATCATGAAACAGTTGTATGTGAGTAAAATCAGATATCTGTGCATTGGTATTCTTTGTGGACAAATGCACACACTGCAGGAATGGATATTTATGAATTCATTTTCTTGGGCAGCAGTTTCCTTAGATTTGTATCACCATTCCCTAGACATGGATTTTGGAAGATACTGAAGCCTCTCATTCTATCACTATTATTAATTAACTTACAAATGGCACATGCATTCCAGCGCATTTGATTACTTCTTGGTAGCAAAATGATCACATTTAATGAACCAGCAAGAGGCTTTGTTGTGCTAATTCTTCCCTGTTGACTAATTTAGGAGGAAAAAACATCATGTGAGTGCTTTGAAGTGTACATATGTTCCAGCAGATTAGCTGAAGCATAATTTTGGAGTATGTTAACAGCAGACTAAAATGCACATGCAAAACTTAATCTAGATGTCCTCACATGGCTGAGACATGACTAAATAAAACACTATGGCTGGGGCTGGTGTTTTGGCGTAGCTGGTAAAGCCGCCGCTTGTGCCAGCATCCCATATGGGCACTGGTTCAAGACCCAGCTGCTCCACTTCTGATCCAGCTCTCTGCTGTGGCTGGGGAAAGCAGTGGAAGATGTCCCAAGTCCTTTGTCCACTCAACCCATGTGGGAGACCCAGAAGAAGCTCCTGGCTTTGGATTGACATAGCTCTGGCCGGTTGAGACCAATTGGGGAGTGAACCAGCAGATGGAAGAGTTCTCTCTTTCTCTGCCTCTCCTTCTCCCTGTGTAACTCTGAGTTTGAAATAAATAAATTAAAAAATAAAAAAAACACTATGGTTTAGGTAATCAATTTAATATCAGTTTGTTTTCAAGTGTCTTTTACAAACAGCCAAGGGACCGTCTAGGAGGATAGGCTAGCTCAATATGCCAGGATCTGTGTTACTTTCTCAGCTCCGATGTGACTTCACTTTATAATCAGAAAGAAAAGTACTTAACTATTCTGAGACTTATATTCCTTCTATAAAATGATGTAACCATAATTTACTTCCTGGCCGGTGATGAGGCTGTTCTTTAAGTAAGTAATGATAAATCCAATTCCATCAAGTTAGATTTTAAGATTAAAAGTGTTTTCCAACTACCACTTTGAGTGAAAAGTACATAATAAAAGAGAAATATGTGAATTGCTTTTATGGCTAATTTATTCAAAAATTGTCATTAGCAACCTTATCTTTTATTTCAGTATAAAGTTGAAACGAGGCACACTAAGCTTACAGGGTTTACTATCACGTGAGAGGTATTTGGAATACAATTATGTTAGCTTATTACAGATTCTTTTTTGCCTAAAAATAGATTTGCCACAGCAGATGCCTTTCATTACTGTTAACTTTTTTTAGGTACTAAACTGACTTAAAGTGAAGTGAGCAAGAACATTTCAAACTTGAATAAATTAAACTTTAAATAAAGCATGAAGAGAAGGAAGTCTCTAAAGAAAGTAGACAAGGACCGGCTGCCTGTATATCCAGACGCCAGAAGGAAACACGCTCTGTCTGCCTGAGTCCTGGACCCGGAAATGCTGCCTGAGAGTACTTACGGAGCAGTGAGAGGAAGAAACCCATATGCTACCGTGCATCCGGCAGGCTCAAATGGTCTTTTGGATTCAGTTTAGTGCTTGTGGATGCCACAGAAGCCACAGGGTAGGCTTTCCCTAATCTTGCCTGAGGATTACAAAATAGGTTTCTCACTGTAAATGAAACATAAAATAAAAATGAAAAGAAGTTGAAACTCCTACTGCCGCCAAAGACTTCTTCAGTGGCGCTGGTACACAGTGGTAGGAGAGCTCAGCATTCCTGCAGGGACCCCTCGCCCTAGCCAAAGGTGGCAGCACGCTGTACTGCAGCCTAGCGCCGACTAGCGGCCAGAGTGTGCCAGCCCTATCCCAGCAGGCACCGCGTATGAAGAGTGTGACATGGAGTATACACATACACCCCTTACGCAATGAGTACCTGTGTCCTCAGGGTTAGTGAATTCTCTCCTAACTTGTCCTATAGCTTGCCCACCTACTGCCTTAAGACAGTGAATAAAGCAGGGCAAGCAAAGAAAATTATGCTATGTAAAATTACTGTTTATCACTCTCAATCTTTTAGAGGAAACTCAATCATATACTCTCGTGATTAAATATAGCCAATAAATTGGGTAAAGAATATTTAAAAAGTCAAACTGTTTTAATCTTTGAAAAGTCACTAAAATATTATTTTATATTGTAAAATATCAAGTTTTATAAGGTTATATGATTATATTATCTCTTTTATGAAATTAAGTCTGGAATGAACTTTCCTCAGATTTTTGGGTTTCTATCTTTGGTTTTGCAAGTTGTGTATGTAGGTTGGCTATCCCTATTCCAAAAACCCAGAATCTGAATGCTCTAAAACTCAGAACATTTGGAGCCCTGATATGATGTCACAGGTTGAAAATTCCCCACCTGACTTCATATGATGAGCCATGTCAAAACATATGCACACTAAAAATATTGTATAAAATTGCCTTCAGGTTGTGTATATGGTATGGATGAGACAAATGATTTTTTGTTGAGACTTGGGTACCATACCCAAGATATCTTATTCTATATATGTAAATATTCCAACATTTAAAAAAAAAGACTCTAAAACAGTTCTGGTTCCAGATATTTCAGGTAAGGGATGTAGAGCCTGTATCAGTTTTCAATATTATACTTGCAATTAGGATTTTTCAAAAGTATAAAAGTTTTCACCACCCAAATTATTCTTTCTCTGAATAATACTTGAGAATATATTTACTAGTTGAAGGAAAGAAATTATGTAGAATGAGTGTGCATTTAATAGATCGTGTCAGTATATCATGTCAGAACTAATCTTTTAAAAGCTACAGAAAAAAAGTTACCTAACAGGGAGATTTTTTCTTTACTTGTTTCTCAAAGGGAGTGTTCATATTTGATCACAAAGAGAGGTCTAAAGGAACATTTTTCAGAATGACTCTTAAGAAAAACAGTTGTACACTAATGATGAAAAGTTACAAGCATTTTCAAAGTTATCTTCAATGGCACTTTATCATTTTCTTATTGATTTAAGTGGCCATATTTATACTACATATTGTTACACTTTTACACCCTGATTAGCTGGTGATTATGTCAAAGGTGGATGACTGTTTAAATTGCCATGTATACCATCCTTAGAACCGAACACTCACCTGCCACTCAATAAAATCCCAATTCTTGTCTGCCTTTCATATAGTCCCCTAAAAGCAGAAGTGATGCTTTACAGATATATTAACATGTTGCTGCTATTATTGTTCATGCCCTCCCCCCCGATTGAAATAGTTCATGTGCAGAGATCTTAGGACAAAATGGCAAATCCTTAGTATGTTGTGTATGGCTTTGTATGAATTGGCTGCTTCCTTCTCCCATGTTCCTCACACATCTGATCTCATTTCTAGCACCTTTACATTTGCTGTTCCTTCTGAAAAGTTTTCTTTTCCTTTACCAAGTGAATTCTTTTTCTTCTGATTTTATCCATTATAAATTCATCATCTCGCCGGCGCCGTGGCTCAGTAGGCTAATCCTCCACCTGGCGGCGCCGGCACACCAGGTTCTAGTCCCGGTCGGGGCACCGGATTCTGTCCCAGTTGCCCCTCTTCCAGGCCAGCTCTCTGCTGTAGCCAGGGAGTGCAGTGGAGGATGGCCCAAGTGCTTGGGCCCTGCACCCCATGGGAGACCAGGAGAAGCACCTCGCTCCTGCCTTCGGATCAGCGCGGTGTGCCGGCCGCAGGGGCCGGCCGCGGCGGCCATTGGAGGGTGAACCAATGGCAAAGGAAGACCTTTCTCTCTGTCTCTCTTTCTCACTATCCACTCTGCCTGTCAAAAAAAAAAATTATCATCTCTATTACTAATGTTACCCAGATCATGCTTTTATCTTGCCATGCATAATATGAACAACAGCTACAATTTTACTTCATATTTTACATTTTTTAAAAGTCTGCTGAAGCAATCAAAGATTGTTTTTACCCTAGTGTGTCTCAGTTTCATGTATTCTGCTGACTTTTTTTGATGAATAGAACTACAGACTTACTTTCTCCATCCTTTAATCTCACAGCAAAATGAATTATCCCATATTCATTAAAAAGGCATAATTTTAGTTCCTGGAACCAACTTTTGGAATCTCTAAATCAGGATTTGTTTGTATAAATTGAAGTTTCTCTGTTTCTCAGTGTATGTTCAAATATCTCTAAGATTTTTAGGCCTTGACAAACCTGTCTTTGATACAGTTGGAATATAAAAATCTAAATTGGGTTTTTAGGTCAACGAGTTCATGTGTCTTCACTTGTCGCATAACTCCATATGTAAACATATTATTTGTTCATAATCAAACCTTCTGTTCACTAATTGTGCCTATTTCTTAACAGCTTATTCTTGTTTTTGTAAGCTATGTCCTCTAGAATTTCTTTGAGTAAAGGAATTAAAATTTACATTCTATTGTATGTACGGTTCTTTTGTCTCCAACAGTGAGCTTAGCTACTTTATTTATTTTCAATCATTTACTTTCTTTTCACATGTAATAATTGTCTCAATTACATAATGAGTCTTAATTCACAGTTACACATTATGAATATCATCAATTACTATTTAAGTGACTGTCAATGACTATGGTTATGGTCTGATATTTTTAAAAAGAGAGTATCCTTACTTTCTGTTTACAGAGTATATTAATAGTCTTTATTTCCATATAGGACCACCTCTCCGTTCCCATTTCCTTATTTTGGTTGTTTACGACCAAAGAGAGATACTCTTAATTGTTCACTGCTGTACTCCAATAAAATACTGAATATTCTGCAAAGATACAGATCAATTTTGTTTGGAAATTATGCATGTTGTAGTTGACAAGTGCAATGGTCCAAGGGTTAGCTAGCAAAATAATACAAACAACCCATGAATTTAGTACTTTCCTGATAACATGTATAGTCTGATGTCTTATTTTCCCACCCTGAGTTTAGATCCTCTCAGAACGTTCTCAGGGAAAAAGTTTTTTAATACCTCTATAGTCTTCTTTTAGTCCATTTCTTGGGTTGTGGTTTTATCTACTGTAATGTGTCCCCCAACACTTATTTTGTTTTGCTTTGTTTTTCATAAAATAAATTATAAATATACTGTTAGTACGATGGGTTTTTTGAGAAGTGAACATTAAATATTCCATCCTTTTAAAACTGGTAATCTGTCTTCTCTTTTATTAAAATGGATTTAGCTTGAGATGTGCATGGTTGTATTTTTCAGGCTTATAATTTCTTTTGAGAAATGCTTCTACATTTCTTTTGCTGTGGTTTGGAGTATCATTTGACTTAGATAAAATGTCCTTGGAGTTTGTAAGCCAAATCCTAGTTTCTAAGGAATAGAAATACCTTGGTTGCTGAGAATGGATCCTTGTAGTTTATTAATACTCTGCATGAATAGTTATTTTAAACCATTGTTCTAATAGGAAAATACCAATTTGCTTTTCTTATTGAAGTGTTTTTCTCAAATTGAAGCTGTAATTTTGATATTTGACATGAATAGAAATGCTGAAAAACTGTAAATAATCATTTTATTTAAGTTAATTATTTGCTTTAAAATGAAAGCAAGCCTGATGTTTTGGCTATTAACGATTAACATGTACCAAATTTGCCCTCTTGCCTAAAAAAGTTATTAAAATGAACAAAATAAGGAATGTGTGTTGGCACAGAAAAACAGTAGACTAAACTGTTATCCTTAAGAAAGAGGATACATATATTCATCCTTTTCACCTGATTTCTGTCTTTTATCTCTTAAAAAAAAGTACATTGTCATGGACACTAAATGGAGTCTGATAGTGCCTTGGTTATAAGACATAGCACAGTGTTTCGGGCTGCTGTAATACTATGGTACTGATGGGCTGGCAGAAGGGAACAAGAAGGCAGCATGAGTTTTTCATGGTTCCCATGACAACTGCTTGCCTGCACAGTCACACTGGAACTCTGTAGAGCCTAACACTAAGCGTAGAGCATAAGACTAAGCAACTTCTGGAAACACTCGAAGAGTTTGTACACCAACGATGACAAGGTACAAGCATTTTCAAAGTTATCTTCATTGGCACTTTACCATTTTCTTACAGCTGAAACAGAGACAAGAATAACACAAGCCTACAGCATATTCTAGAGCCACCTCCATAATCAAGGGTACAGTGTGTAATGGTATATGCAAAGATATAGAATTCAACCAATAGAGCTCTCAATAGGTAGTACTGAGATAATGTGAAGACCAAAATAACAGTACTGAGTGACACATATGGAATAAAATAAATTCCAATGAGAACATACCTCTCCATATGATGGGGATGGGGGAGAGAGAAAGAGATAGAGAGGAGGGCCGGCACCGTGGCTCACTTGGTTAATCCTCTGCCTGTGGCGCCAGTATCCCATATGAGCACCAGGTTCTAGTCCCGATTGCTCTTCTTCCAGTCCAGCTCTCTGCTGTGGCCTGGGAGGGCAGTGGGGGATGGCACTTGGACCCCTGCACCCGCATGGGAGACCAGGAGGAAGCACCTGGCTCCTGGCTTCAGATCAGCACAGCAGCCATTTGGTGAGTCAATCAACGGAAAGAAGACCTTTCTCTCTGCCTCTCTCTCTCACTAACTCTGTCAAATAAATAATAAATATATATATATATTTCACAAATGACAATTATTTTAAAAAAAGAGAGAGAGAGGGAGAGAGTGAGGGAGATAGAGAGAGAGAGATACAGGTATCCATATTGAAGAGCAAAGAATCCTGGTTAATGAATGTGAGGAAATTGAGAGAAACAAAATTATTGTTAAGCAAACAGAAATAGTTGATGCAGGCACAACTCAACAAAGGATGATTAAATCAGAAAAAATTCTTGAGAAGGTACAGTATATTAGTAGTCTCCAAATATATCCCCAGTATATTTATTATGAAAAGGTAAATATGTCATCTTATAATGGAAAAACCTAGGAGATATCATATTATTCAAGTAATTATTATTAATGTTACTAGTAAGACATTGTATCTGATATGATACTCTGAGAAAACAATGAAAGTTATGCAATATTCTTCACCCAAAATGCATAACCTTAGCCTCATCATTAGGCAACACTGGACCAACCCAAACTGAGACAATAACTAATATAACAAAACAGAATTTTTCAAAGCTAGTGAAGTTCATGAGAGCCAAGGAAAGAATGGGGAACCAAAACAGATTAGAGGAGGCTAAAGAGAAAGGAAGAACAATGAAAAGCTATGTAGGATCTTGGATTAGATGCCAGAACAAAAAAATTATAGTATGAGGAAAGATCTGGTGAATTTCTAATAATGCTTATTGTTCCATTGATGATATTATGCTGATCTTAATTATGTAGTTTTAATAATTTGACTATAGTTTTGTAAATGTTGCCATTTAGGGAAACTTGATGAAAGCACACAGGGATTCCCTATTTCAGCAACATGATTGCGAGTCAAGTGTTACTTCAACATACATTTTATTTTATTTTATTTTTATTTATTTATTTGGGAGGTGGATATACAGAGAAGGAGAGACAGAAATAAAATAATGGTTTTCCATCTGCTGGTTCATTCCCCAAATGCTTGCAAATGCTGGAGTTGAGCCTATCAAGAGCCAGGAGTTTCCTCCGGGGCTCCCACACAGGTGCAGGGGCCCAAGGACTTGGGCCATCCTCTACTGCTTACCCAGGCCATAGCAGAGAGCTCAATCTGAAGAGGAGCAGCCAGGACTAGAAGCAATGCACATATGGGATACTGGCACTGCAGGCAGAAGATTATCCCACTGTGCCACAGCGCCGGCCGCCAACATACATTTTTTTTTTTAATGAATGGAACTCAGTAATCTGTGGGAAAGAATCAAATAGCCTAATGTCTGTATAATTAGAGTCACAGCAGAAAAGAGGAGAGAGAATAGCTCACAAATTAATCTGTCAAAAACTGTGGTAGAAAGTATCAGAAAATTGATGACAAACATTAGCTTACTAAACCAAAAGCAAGGAAGCATTGAAGTTATACTTGATATAACACTTTACATGGTATTACCAGAGCTAACTGTAGAAAATAAAACCAACTCAGTCCAGAATAATTTTTATGTTTATTATTTTTAATTTATACAGAGGGAACAGATTTCTTATATTCCATATGTATTGTTTTAAGAACATAATCATACTTCCCACCTTTCCCCTTTCTTATTTTTCTTTTAATTTTTGCAATGACATACTTTCTTTTTTTTTATTTGACAGATAGACAGTGAGAGAGTGAGAGAGTGAGAGAGTGAGAGAGAGAGAGAGAGAGAGAGAGAAAGGTTTTTCTTCCATTGGTTCACCCCCCAAATGCCTCTATAGTTGGAGCTATGCCTATCTGAAGCCAGGAGCCAGGTGCTTCCTCCTGGTCTCCCATGTGGGTGCAGGGCACAAGCACTTGGGCCATCCTCCACTGCACTCCCAGGCCACAGAAGAGAGCTGGACTGGAAGAGGAGCAACCAGGACTAGAACCCGGTGCCCATATGGGATGCCAGCGCTGCAAGTAGCATATAAACCAAGTGAGCCATGGCTCCAGCCCTGACATACTTTCAATTTACTTTCTAATCACAAGTTCTACCTTCTGCTAGATAAATAATTCACCAGTTAGTAAGTAGAGAAACCACAGTTCCTCAGGACTATGGATAAGGACTATAAACACTAATCACATCTCAAAATGGGATGGTTCCATATCTCAGCGATTGTGAGTTGAGCTTCTATACATGGAGGTACAGATAATTCTTTCATATCCTGATTTCATTTCAATAGGGTAAATTCCAAGGAGTGGAATGGCTGGATCACATGCTAGATCAATGTTCAGATTTCTGAAGAATCCCCAGTGTCTTTGATAATCATTACACTAGTATACATTTCTACCAACAGGTTTTAGGGTACCTATTTGTCCATATCCTCATCATCATTAGTTATTTTTTGATTTCTGTTGAGAGTCATTCTAACTAGGGTGAGGTGAAACTTCATTGTGTTTTTTATTTGCATTTCCCTGCTAACTAGTGATACTGACCATGTATGTGTTGTCATTTGTATTTCATTCTTTGAAAATGCATGTCATATCCTTAGCCTATTTCTTAACCGGATTGCTTGTTTTTCCATTGCGTTTCTTGAGCATCTTATATATTCTGGATATTAATCCTTCATCAGATGTGTAGTTTGCAGGTATTTTCTCGCGTTCTGCTTTTTGCCCCTTTACTTTGTTGAGTGGTTCCTTTTCAGTGCAGAAGCATTTGTTTATTTTTGCCTTTTTGCCTGTGCTTCTGGGGTTTTATCCAATAAGTCGTTGTCTATGCCAATATCTTTCAGTGTTTTCCCATTTTCCTCTAGTAACTTAATGGTTTCAGATCGTAGGTTTCGATCCCTGATGCATTGTTCATTTTTGTGCAAGGTATATGTAGGGGTCTTGTTTCATACAGTGGCATGCAGAGATCTAACTTTCCCAGCATCTTTTGTTGAACAGACAGTCCTTTATCCAAGGGTTGTTTTTACCTTGTTCATCAAATATTAGTTGGTTATAGATGTGTGGAATAATTTCTGGGGTCTCTAAACTGTTCCATTGGTTCACATGTCTGTTTGTGTGCCAGTACCAGGTTGTTTTGATTATATTTGTCCTGTAATATTTCTTGAAATCTGATATTGTGATGCTGCCAGCTTTGTTTTTATTGTTTAAGATTGCTTTAGCTATTTGAGTCTCTTGGGATTGCATATGAATTTTAGTATCATTTTTTGTGGGTCTGAGAAGAACATCTTAGGTATTTCAATTGGGTCTGCATTCCATCTGTAAATTGCTTTGGTTAGTTTGGACATTCTGATATTAATTCACCCAACTGAGGAACATGAGAGATTTTTCTATTTTTTGTTCTAATTTTTTTCTTAAATTTTGTAATTTTCATTGTAGAAATCTTATAATCTTATACATCCTTGGTTAAATTTATCCTAAGGTATCAAAAATTTTTGTAGCTATTATGAATGAGATGGATCTTACAAGTTCTTCCTCAACATGTTATTGTTTGTGTATATAAATGCTATTGGTTTTGGGGTGTGAATTTTATATCATGAAACTTTACCAAACTCTCTTAGGAGTTCCAGTAATCTCTTAGTGGAGTCTTTGGTTCCCCTCTGCAAAGGATCAAATCATCTTCGAAGGGGGATAATTTGACTTCCTCCTTTTCCATATTTATCTCTTTGATTTCTTTTTCTTTCCTAGAGGCTTTTGCTGAAACTGGTTCCGGATCTTAGTGTAAATGCTTCCATCTTTTCAATAATCAATATGATGCTGGGTAAAGTTTTTGCCATATATTGTCTTGATTGTGTTGCAGCGTATTCCTTCTATACTCAATTTGCTTAAGGTCTTTAATCCAGAATAAATTTATGTTAGTGTTTACAATGTTTTTCTACTTCCTGTCATTAATATTCTATATGGAAAGTTACAAATTGCCTACTATAAAGAAAAATTCAGAAAGACTATGAACTCTGTAACAATAACATAGATTGTCAACTTCCTGCAATTTTGGGTTTCCTTAGTCACTTCAGTTTCCTAAAGCTGTGTGACAAATAACAGCATCTTTGATGTGTAGTCTATAGTGAACTTTTTCAATGTTTCTTGCACCAGGAATTTTTGTGTTTTTTTTTTTTTCTGTTTCTTAGCGTGAATATTTACAACTGGATAATTTAATGATATATAAAACAGAACTCGGTACAAATCATGTTGCTGACATTTTTCCATGAGTACTTCCTTTTTTCAAAGTTTATTATAACTCTGTGTACTTTTATCTTTTCTAAAGAAACATTTTATATATTAAAAAGGCAGGAAGGGAAGGGGTGTGTGTGTGTGTGTGTGTAGAAAGAAAAAGAGAGAAAAATTGGTTTACTCCCCGAATGTTGTCAACAGGCAGAGATGGACCAGGTTAAAACTAGGAGCTGGAAACTAAGTCTGGATTTCTCACATCAGTGGCAGGTACCCAAGTATTTGAGCCATCAACTGCGTTCTCCCAGTTTTCACACAAGCAGGAAGCTGTATCAAAAAAAAGACTGAAACCCAGACACTCCACTATGGAATGCAGATGTCCCAGGCACATTATAACCACTGTGCGACAAATACCCACTGTAATATTTTCTGATCTCTGATTCTACATGATACAAATGTCTTTCTACATTTCCTCCTTCTTAACCCCAAAGTTGTTCTGCTCCATTTCTGGTTTATAATTAACTTGTTTTCTATTCTTTTGTGACTATTTATCACTTTCTAAGATTCCATCAAAGATTTCTTGAACCAGCAATCTCTCTCCATGTGAGAGAAGTTTGTAAATAGACTCTACTTTAAATTCTGAAAATTCACATTATGGCACAAATACACTGAGAATATAGTTATAACACATATGAAGTAGAACACTGTGTGACCCAGCATTTTATAGCTGGCAAGTGCATAATCACCTTAAGTACTACTTCAAGCTTTTCCTTGAGTTGCACTTCAATTATAAATTGGAGCTTAAAAATTATCATATTTAAATAGAAAGGTTTAAACCATATTTAGATGTATGGATGCAGTCTGAAAAGTATCAGCAACTGAACTATCCTCCATGGGTAATTTGGGGACAGTCATTTCCTTACAGATCCAAAGGAAATGTGCCAAATCCTTAGTCATTAACTCTACTTCCTGTAGAGATGTGGCGGCTGACTTCAGGTGAAATGCAAATATAAGCTGCAACCACCTCTTCAGATTTGACAAGAGGAAAATCCACAACCAAATGACTTTGGACTTCTGCCATAAGCAATTTTGTATAAATAACTCTGAACTTAGGATAGATGGGCACATTGAAATTCAAATGAGGACTTGAGAACTCCTAGGATGGAGCAAGTGTAGTGATGTCCCTAGACCTCTAACACAGAGCATTCTTTGGATCCACTGCCTGTGTATATCCAGTTTAACCCTAAAGTAACTCTGCTACTTATGTGCGTTACGATTATGAAATGTAAAAACAATAAATATAATAATAATTGACTTGTGATAACTTTTGACAGTATTCTTCAAAACATTAATTGGGCAAAAATTCTATAAAGCAAAGGCATAGAAATTAATTTAGCTTACTTATTAATGAAGTAACACTTCCTTGATATATATTTGTTATATTTGCTAGAAATGTACTGTTTGTTGAAGATAAAATTAAAATAGATGTATTACCTGAATTAAAAATCATAGATAAGGTGACCGTATAATTCATTGTCCAAGTCAGAACACTTGTGAGATGGATGAGAATTACTTGAGCCTGACTCATACACTAGAACTGTCCTGAGCAACTCAATACATAAGGTAACCAGGAGTTTTGGAGCAAGTATGCCTACCGAGAAGCAATCCTCCACTCTCTTACAGAGATGTTACAGGATTAGGGATAGGGTTATGTTACATAAAACAAAATGGGGTTATGTTACTTGTAGTGATTTAGGCTTACAAAATTATTTTAAATACTTCTCATTTTCTGTGGCTTTTGAAGGACATTTGACAATTATTTCTTGGTTTCTGAAGTTAATCGTATATTCAGTTTTCATCCAAGAAATAAGGACAAAGATGATATTTAGCCAAAGTTTAATTTGGATGCAAATTACTTCATTTTTATGAAATTAAGAGGGGTAAATTTTATTCATAAATATAATATTTTATAACTACTTCTCTCATATTTCTATCATTCATTGAGCATCAGAATTGCAGTGATTATTAGTGTAGTTAATATCCCATGGTGTTGCATCGGAGCTTTTAACATTAAAACATGTATTTATTTTCAATCTCATATTCACTAGAAGTACAGTCTAAGGATTTAGATTTCAGTGGAAAAATCAAACTGGCTGCCATACATTGCAGTAAATCACATTATCCCTCCATACACTGGAGCAAAGCAGACATCCGACATTACTGCAGTTCCCTGTAGCCCTTTCCATATAGCCTTCAAGGCTGTTAATAATAGAACCAAAATAAAATTCCTAGAGCTTCTATGTCCAAGTCAACCTTCATTATAACACTCTAAATTGCTTGAGATGCTTTGCTATTATTTTCATATATATTGAAATTTAAATTCAAATTCTAGGTGGATAAAATTATTTTTTCCTAAGTCAAGGAGAGAACTGAATTAAATGGATTACTATTTTTATTTCATGTAATACGGTGTCTATATGGTATCACAGTGTGTCCCGTAATATAACATCAATTTCTTTTTTTTTTTTTTTTTTTTTTTTTGACAGGCAGAGTGGACAGTGAGAGAGAGAGACAGAAAGGTCTTCCTTTGCTGTTGGTTCACCCTCCAATGGCCGCCCCGGCTGGCGCACTGTGCTGATTCAAAGGAAGGAGCCAGGTGCTATCCTGGTCTCCCATGGGGCCCAAGCACTTGGGCCATCCTCCACTGCATTCCCTGGCCACAGCAGAGAGCTGGCCTGGAAGAGGGGCAACCGGGACAGAATCTTGTGCCCCGACTGGGACTAGAACCTGGTGTGCCGGCGCCACTAAGCGGAGGATTAGCCTGTTGAGTCGCGGCGCCGGCCGTCAATTTCTTTTTAATATTTATTTATTATTATATTTGAAAGGCAGAGTGGCATGGAGAGAAAAAGAGAGAGAGGGAGAGGGGGAGAGATGGAGATTGATCTTGCTGGTTTACTCTCCAAATGTTTGCAACAACTGGGACTGGGCCAGGCCAAAGCCAGGAACCGGAAACTCCATCTGGGGCTCCGACATGAGTGACTGGAAATCAAATACATTAGCCATCGTTTACTTCCGAGGCACATTAGTAGGGAGCTGGATTCCAAGCCAGGCTACTGGGACTTGAACAAGCAGATTGATTTGGGACATGCCTTTCCCAATATCAGCTTAATCTGCTGTGCCTCAAAATCCTTCCCCATTCTTTTCTTTAGTAGGGTTTGACTTCAATAACAACTGATATTCTTCTAGCCCATATTTATTATGCTGGCCCACTTTCAAAGTAGAGGATGTCCTCTTCTAATTATATAATTATGTAATTGTTCTCTGTTAGTTTCAACAGGATCCTCACTGCTTATTTTAAGTGTCTGGGAAACTTTACTTTCCTTGTCAATACCCATATTTCAAGGCATCTTAATCTTTTTAGTCTTACATAATTTTATGTTATATGAGCATGTGAATCCTGCCCACAAGATATATTTCATTCCTTATCCTGTGTCTGAACATTTCTTTTAACTATGGCATTATCCTCAACATCATTCACCCTAGAACTATCTGATTGTGAAAAAACAATTCACTTTCCAAATTGGAAAACTCCTACATTTTGAGGAATTTACCATTCATGATTCTAAATATGAGTGGCCTTTTTTTTCTCTTTTTTTTGCTCAATTCTTTTACTGTTTTGTGATTCATACCAAGATCTGTTTTGAAATGAAAAAGTCTTCAGAAAATAAACCATTATTCAACTTTGGACAGTACCAATGTTGGAACTAAATATAATTTTGAAGATGATATATACATTCCTTCTTGAATATAATCTTTCCCTTTAGGATACTTTTATCCCCAAGAAGATTGGAAACACTATCATAAGTTTTTTTTTCCTTTTTAGTTGCTTGATATGACTGTTGCTTAATGATCAAATATTTTAACAAAATCCTAAATATGTATCATTATAATTTTTCTCTTTTATTAAGCAAGTTGACTTAAAATTATTTGCAATATATTTTCTTTTAGTGTTACAGTTAAGCTTAATCTTTGGAAAAATGTTCAGTGTTTTTTTAAAAAAACGGTAAAATACTTTATCGCATGAAGTCATACTGTGATTCGATTTCAGGGGAGTGGCCTTAAATGCAGGGGAGGGCTAGTTCTTCAGAAGCAATATTCATTTGAGCTTTAAAAACGTTAAATGGTGACTTTGGTGACCTGAAATATTGCAATGAGAACAGTATGGCTACTTTACCTGTTGAATTATGCCATTTTAAAAATAAATTTCTCAGTAGGAGAAAGGCTTGTTTTCTACATATCTTTTATGCATACACTCAACTCCCATTGACAATTAAAACTACTTATACTGTACTTCAGTAGTGTTAGGAAGTTCATGTGCTTGCCAGATGGATGAAACACAGGCACCTCTTCAGATGGGTGTCTAGGGAGAGCACTCTGTCTACATGTGATTTTTCACATCTTGGCTCACACTTCCAAATGCAAATCCAATATTAAGACACATTGTGAATTTATAACACACTGGAGATCTGTTAATTCTGTGGACAAAGATTAAGTTCCTTCATGTATTCATCTTTTTAATGAGGAAAATGATCCAAAAAGTGAAGGCATAATTTAATTAAAGTGATTTGTGTGTGTTTTAATTCAATCTTGTAAATGAATTTATAATACATTTTATTTCCATTTCATCTCTCTATATCTGAAATGGTACCTGAAAACAACTTTTTCTTAGTGAATGAAAGCAGATGAATTTCTTCATCTACCAGCTAGCTGACAATAGCTGAGGAATGACTTAAAAGTGAAGTACAACTGATTCTAGAGCTAATTGCAAAATCACCTTCTTACAAATATATTAGTGAAATGCAATGCCTCCCCTTGTTTGCTTTGGCCTGCATTTTTGAAAGTATGGAAATTTTGTCTGGTAATTAAGTAGAATTTTATTAGGTAAAGGAGGCCGTGGAAATGCAGGTGGATAATTCTGGTTCAAATAGCTACAATGATAGAGTATAATTTATAGCCACAGTAGTCTTAACAAAAATATTCCATCCATTATGTGGCAAAATAGCATCTTGCATACTTTGTACTTACTGAATTGCTATGATCTGAATGTACATGTCTCTCCTCAAAAGCATGTATTAAAATCCTAACCCCAAGCAGTATTAGGAGATAAGACCATTTGGATGCATGAAGGAAGAGCCCTCATGTGTGGAACTGATGTCTTTACAGAGGTGACTTGAGAGAGACACCTTACGCTTCTAGCAGGGGAGATATGGATGTCTATGAGGAAATGAACCTTGTAGGACATTTTGTCTGCTGGTGCTTTGATCTTTGACTTCCCATGCTCCAGGGCTCAGAGAAGTAAATGGTTGCTCATAAGCCACTTGTGTATGATAGTTTGTTACAATAGACAGAATGGATTATTCAATTCTTGAATTCTTGAATTGCATGGGAAAAACATTCAGACCACATTTTTCTTTTAGAGGTTTGTTCGTTTGTTTGAAAGGTGGAGAGATGCTGGCGCCGTGGCTCAACAGGCTAATCCTCTGCCTAGCAGCGCCGGCACACCGGGTTCTAGTCCCGGTCAGGGCACCGGATTCTGTCCCGGTTGCCCCTCTTCCAGGCCAGCTCTCTGCTGTGGCCAGGGAGTGCAGTGGAGGATGGCCCAAGTGCTTGGGCCCTGCACCCCATGGGAGACCAGGAGAAGCACCTGGCTCCTGCCATCAGATCAGCGCGGTGCGCCGGCTGCAGCGTGCCGGCTGCAGCGGCCATTGGAGGGTGAACCAATGGCAAAGGAAGACCTTTCTCTCTGTCTCTCTCTCTCACTGTCCACTCTGCCTGTCAAAAAAAAAAAAAAAAAAAAAAAAAAAAGAAGAAAGAAAGAAAGGTGGAGAGAGACAGAAAGGAAGACAATCATCTTCTCATTCACTTTCCAAACTGCAAAGGCCAAGACTGAGCCAGGCCAAAGTCAGGAGCCTACAACTTCATCTGTGTCTCCCACATAGGTGACAGGGGCCTAAATACTTTGGTCTTCATCTGATGCTTCCCCAGGTGCATTAATAGAAAGCTGAGGCACAAATGAAATATCTGGGACTTAAACCAATATTCCAATATGAGATAACAATGGCGCAAGTGTTGGTTTAACAAGCAGTGCCACAATTCCAGACCCTTAGCAAAATTTGAATATCTGTCTGTTTTTTGTTGTTATGCACATCTCTCAGGGTGATACACTAATATCGAACACAAAACTCAGTCTTTTCTTTTTTTTTTTTTTTTTTTTTTTTTTTTTATCTTTTATTTAATGAATATAAATTTCCAAAGTACGTCTCATGGGTTACAATGGCTTTCCCCCCCATACCGTCCCTCCCACCCACCACCCTCCCCTTTCCCACTCCCTCTCCCCTTCCATTCACATCAAGATTCATTTTCGATTATCTTAGTATACAGAAGATCAGCTTATTATACCTTAAGTAAGGATTTCAACAGTTTGTTCCCACACAGAAACATAAAGTGAAAAATAATAGATGATTTTTTTTTAAATGATGATGAAATCAGATCAGACCTATTGTCATGTTTAATCCCAGTGAGAGTCAAGTTGGGAATTGATAGTTTCTTTTTTTTCTTTTTTTTTTTTTTAACAGAAGATCAGTTTAGTGTACATTAAGTAAAGATTTCAACAGTTTGCACCCCCATAGAAACACAAAGTGAAATATACTGTTTGAGTACTCGTTATAGCATTAAGCCTCAGTGTACAGCACATTAAGGACAGAGATCCTACATGAGGAGTAAGTGCACAGTGACTCCTGTTGTTGACTTTACAAATTGACACTCCTGTTTATGGCATCAGTAATCTCCCTATGCACCAGTCATGAGTTTCCAAGGCTATGGAAGCCCCTTGAGTTCTCCGACTCTTATCTTGTTTAGACAAGGTCATAGTCAAAGTGGAGGTTCTCTCCTCCCTTCAGAGAAAGGCACCTCCCTCTTTGAAGACCTGTTCTTTCCACTGGGATCTCACTCACAGAGATCTTTTTGCCAGAGTGTCTTGGCTTTCCATGCCTGAAATACTCTCATGGGCTTTTCAGCCAGATCCGAGTGCCTTTAGGGCTGATTCTGAGGCCAGAGTGCTATTTAGGACATCCGCCATTCTATGAGTCTGCTGAGTATCTCACTTCCCATGTTGGATCACTCTCCCCTTTATTTATTCTATCGGTTAGTGTTAGCAGATACTAGACTTGTTTATGTGCTCCCTTTGACTCTTAGTCCTTTCATTATGATCAATTGTGAACTGAAATTGATCACTTGGACTAGTGAGATGGCATTGGCACATGCCAGTCTTTTCTTTATTCTTCATAACTGTCAGGAGTCCCATACTCTAGGATAGGACTTGGTAACTACCCTGTTTTTACTCCCGTTAGCTAATTTTCTACACAAGAGTTGTTTTAATTTGCCTGAAATATTACAGTATAAAGATAAGACCCTGAAATAATTTAGTAAGTTTTCTTACTGGCTATTCATGATGAAAATAATGAGAGCACTTAAAATTAATTCTATATTTTTTTAACTGAAAAGTGATCCCTGTTAGGAATTTGGAAAACATTATGCTGAATGAAATAAGCCAATCCCAAAGGGACAAATACCACATGTTCTCCCTGATAGGTGACAACTAACTGAGCACCAAAAAGGAAACCTGTTAAAGTGAAATGAATACTATGAGAAACGGTGACTTGATCAGCCCTTACCCTGACTGTTGATGAACAACTTAATATGTTATCCCTCTTAGTATTTTTTTTGTTTGTTCTACTTAATACTTTTGGTTGAATACTGTAATCTATACACAGTTATTCTCAAGTGTTGAAACTTAACTGAAAAGTGATCGCTGTTAAATACAAGAGTGGGAATAAGAGAGGTAAGAGATGTGCCATTCGGGACATGCTCAAGCTGACTTACCTCAAAAGGTAGAGTTAGAAATATACCAGGGGATTCCAATCCCATCAAGGTGGCATGCACCAATGCCATCTCACTAGTCCCAGTAATCAATTTCTGTTCACAATTGATCATAATGATAGGACTAAGAGTCAAAGGGAGCACATAAACAAGACTAATGTCTGCAAATACTAGCTGATAGAATAAAAAAGGGAGAGAATGATCCAACATGGGAAGTGAGATACACAGCAGACCCATAGAATGGCAGATGTCCTAAACAGCACTCTGGCCTCAGAATCAGCCCTTAAGGCATGCAGATCCAGCTAAAAAGCCCGTGAGAGTATTTCAGGCATGGAAAGACAAGACACTCTGGGGGAAAAAAAAAAAAAAAAAAAAAACTAAATGAAAGATCTCCGTGAGTGAGATCCCAGTGGAAAGAATGGGTCATCAAAGAAAGAGGTACCTTTCTCTGAAGGGAGGAGAGAACTTCCACTTTGACCACGGCCCTGTCTAAATATGATCAGAGTCGGCGAACTCAGGGGGCTTCCATAGCCTTGGCAGCTCATGACAAGAGCCTAGGGTGATTACTGAGGCCATAACCAAGAGTGTCAATTTGTTAAGTCAACAACAGGAGTCACTGTGCACTTACTCCTCATGTAGGATCTTTGTGCTTAGTGTGCTGTACATAGAGATTTAATGCTATAACTAGTACTCAAACAGTATTTTTCACTTTATGTTTCTGTGTGGGAGCAAACTGTTGAAATCTTTACTTAATTTATGCTAAACTGATCTTCTGTCTATAAAGAGAATCGAAAATGAATCTAGATGTGAATGGAAGGGGAGAGGGAGTTGGAAAGGGGAGGGTGCGGGTTGGAGGGACGTTTTGGGGGGGAAGCCATTGTAATCCATAAGCTGTACTTTGGAAATTTTATTTTTAAAATAAACCTTCTCTTCCTTAAAAAATTAATTCTATATGAATGGATTAATGGTGTAATATTTTATAATTCAGATTAAATTATAATTATTTTTTTCCTATTTCTCACATATTCTGGTGAACAATGAGTAGTTTGCTACATGGGGGCAAGAGAAAGTAGTGTTGTAATTCATGTGCTAATAAGCTTGACTCATTTTTAGAAGTCTTTTATAGCATTTAGAGAGCATAAATGCTTATTTTTAGTACAGTTTCATCAGATTTATTTTATGAGTGACTAGGTAATGTGAGTGATACAGAAATTCCACTTCCCAATTTGTTATTGTTTCCTAGTCCCAGGCTCCTCCATCTTGGATGGATAGTGTGAAGCACATGCTGAGTCTTGAGAACAACTTAAAATGTGAAACTTTAACAAAATTAAAACTCAAATTACTATTTATATTTGAGACCTGCGGTGATGGAGGTCTTCAAGCATACAAACAAAAAAGAAGTACTACCCTACGTTTGCAAATGAGGAGTGTACTAGTATCATTTTTGCTTCTTCTATCCTTAATACCTCTTGAAGATGTGTCCTCTTTCCCTGAAATACTCACTCATTCACTCATTCTACTTAGACCTTCATTCATTTTATAGCATGTACAATTCTCATATTACACACAATAAATATTTCTATAAATAGGATTGGACACCTTGGATTTTTTAACTGCTTAACTACTATGAATTTTAAGAAGGTACCATGCAAGTTTGCGATTCTGAGCTATTTTCTGAGTTCAGAAACCCTCCCTTTTCCTCATTGGTTTGCTATTATTCTTTGCTGGTATTATCATTATTATTATAATCATGTATAAAGAATGGGATAATTAGAATTGTCCATTCATAATGAAGAAGGATGAGGATTAACTGTCTTTTTACTAATTAAAATCTGTCGCTTTACATGTTTACATAGTATTTACCAAAGAATCTAATATTATTCAAGATGTTTACTAATTGCAATTTCCACCGCTCTGAATTTACATTTGGTGGTTCTGAATTTGTCTTCTTAGTCTGATTTTTCTTACTATTTCCTGAAAACTTAGATTAGGCATTTTATAAAGGAATGAGGTTTATTTTGATATGCAGTACTGGAAGTCCAGGGATGTGGTGCAAACATGTTCCAGACTTCTGTTATGGGCCTCATGGCAGAAAGAAGAAGGAAAAGTGAGCATGTGTGAAAGAGAAAGGGGAGCTAGAATTCTGCTATCACCAGCCAGTTCCTACAAGAAAGGCCTTAGTCAATTCTTGAGAGCTCCAGGCCCAGGACCCAAACACTCTCCACTCCCACCATGGTCTCAATGACAGATTTTAGCGTGAGTTTCAGATTGGACAAAACATAGCACTCACTTTTACATGTTTTCATCCTGCCTCCTTTAGTGACACATCATTTCATGTAACTTTGAGGAAATATTCTTTTTTTTTTTTTTTTTTTTTTTTTTTTTTTAAACAGGCAAACTGGTCAGTGAGAGGAAGAAACAGAGAGAAAGGTCTTCCTTTGCCGTTGGTTCACCTTCCAATGGCCACCACGGCCGGCGCGCTGTGGCTGGCGCACCGCGCTGATCATGATCCGCAGCCAGGAGCCAGGTGCTTCTCTGGGTCTCCCATGGGGTGCAGGGCCCAAGGACTTGGGCCATCCTCCACTGCACTCCTGGGCCACAGCAGAGAGCTGGCCTGGAAGAGGAGCAACCGGGACAGAATCCGGTGCCCCGACCAGGACTAAAACCCGGTGTGCTGGTGCTGCAGCCAGAGGATTAGCCTATCAAGCCACGGCGCCGGCCTGAATGTGGGTGTTCTTACGTAGTTTCTATACCTTGATCTAGCAGAGTAGAAAGAAGCACACAGAAAGAAAAGGCAGCGTGGAGAGGCATGGGGAGAGTGTGATGACTGTGATCCAAGCAAGAATTTAGAGTAGAGAGAGTCTGGTAACATTAGCTTGAGTTCATCAGAGCGGGAATAGCTAAATGGAATCATAAAGGAGTCGTAAATTCCACCAGGAGATTGGATGCTTGTGTATAATAAGACAGTTGGGTACAGAGACAGAGAAATTCTGAAGGCATTTCTTTTCAATGAAATGCAATGAATTCATGCCCCAAAATATGAAAAAGAATAATCAATCAAGTACATGTATTTAACCAGTGGCTACAATAGTTTTCCAACTAGTTTTGCTAAAGCCACAAAGTTTGTAGAATCTAGTTTGTATAAACTATGATATTAAATGCACAACAGAGAAATTTGAATTTTATTTAGCAGGAATGGGAGAAGTTTTCCAATGGTTTTAAACAGTTGACAGTACTGTTGGATTATTTTCTAGCATTTCTGGAAGTATATAAGCAAC